TATTATTATTAAATTTTTAATTAATCATTACAAATATTTAGATAATTCTTGAGCATCAGGATATTATTTCTAATATAGAAGTGCGTAATTTATTAGAAAATAAAGAATTTTTTACTACATGTCAGCATATTCGTTCAATTTGGACTCCTATTAAAGAATGTATTAATATACTGAAATCAAATACTGCAACCTTAGCTGATTGCTTTATTCATATGATTAAGTTAGCAATAGCAATATATCGGTTACCTAATCTAAATCCATTCAAAATTCCAGCCATACATGTATTTAATGTCCGTTATATTGAATTTCAGTATCCAGCATATTTACTTTGTTATTTTATACATCCACAATATAGAGGTTTATATAATTTTATAATTTTTTTTATATATTTAAATTTTATTATTAATATTAATTTACTTAAATAGGTTGTGGATTACGCAATGGGGGATTCAGAGATGCTGCTTTAATTGCAACAAAATTATGGCAAAGTCTTGGTTATGATAAGCAAGAAAGTTATGAATTAATTTCTTACTTGCGTTGATTTGAAGCTCATTTGGCACCTTATGATCTACCTTATATTGAAAATATGGATACTCCTAAATTATGGTGGGTTCTATTAAACATAATTCTTATCATTTAGTTGAACTTGCACTTCGATTGTTTGGAATAATTCCTTCTCAGTCTAGTTGTGAGCGGAATTTTTTGATACTTAAATGGTTAATTGGTGATCGAAGAACTAGATTAGCAGTACAAAAACTTGAAAATATGACTAAAATTAGATCATATTATTTAACTAATATCAAATCTGAACTTTTATATTATGGTAAGGAACTAACAAATAATGAATTAAAAGAAGCAGCAAATTATTCATCTATAGGAATAGTAATGACTTTAGAATCTGACGAGAAAGAATTAGTTAATAATTTTATTATTAATGATTCAAATGTTACATCTTCTAGAAATACTTTGGTTTTAGAAGATATTATTGATTTCACTTTACCAATTTTTGATAAAGAATTACATAGTAAAGAAAAAGATCAAAATAATATAATTTTACCCTCCGATTTAGAATATAATCCAAAAGATTTAGTTAATTCTTTTCTTCAAGAAAATTTAAATTGATTTTTTAATGGTTATTATATGTAATTTTTTTTTGGATTGCTTTTAATAAATTTTGAAATAAAAACGAAATTAGCATATAAGTAATATGACGATATAACATATAGAATATGATACGGCATTTAGCACATTATATGTCATATGACATATAATATAGCATATGGCATATGATACGATATATATTATATGATACGGCATATAGCATATAAAATTTTAAATGTATATGTTATAACCTTTTTATATCTTATTAATGTTATAATTAAAGTTATAACTCATATAAATGTTTGCACCCTTAGTATTTAAAGAAGTATAATAAAGCAGACCAATCATAGAAATTAAATTTAATGTTTTTTCTAGAATTTTAAAATAATTTCTTTTTTGATTTTTAATATTATAGCTTTTTTTATATTTACTTATTTTGACTAATCAGTAATTACAGAATTAACAAATTTTATTTAAATAATTATTTTTTCTAATATTTTCTATTTTTTTAAATACTTTAAATATTAAATTTGTATACTCAATATAATCTTTAAAACTATATAATAAATATAAAATAAGTTAACTAATTTATTATTAGATATTGATTTTAATTCATTATAATTTTAAATTTTATCATTATAATTATAAATAATAAATTATTTTACTTTATTTTCAAAAATTTTTCAATTAAATATAATTTTTTTTTTTTAAAAAAATGATTTTTTACTTATTTATTTTATAGAATTATTATTAATATTATTAATAATTAATTCAGAATCAATTCCTTTAAAATTATGTATTGAAATATCATCTAAAAAAATATAATAATATTTAAAATTTGTATTTAATAATATTATTATAAAATGATAAATATTATGTATTTAAATTAATGTTGATTGATTATATCTATAAATATTATGATATTATTTATATTAAAATAAATATATTTTTAATATTTTATAAATAATAATTATTAATAGTTTATTAGTATTCATTTAAAGTAATATTTTTTTTTATTAATTTATAGTTTTTCTTATTATTGAAATTCTAATATTTATTAATATATATATAGAGATGAAAAAATTTTAAAAGTTGTAAATATAATTTATCATCTACTTTAATATTATCAATATATTTATTATTAATACTAGCTAAAAAATAACATAAAAAATTAATTTTTTATTATTTTTACTTATTTTATTATTTTAATATTAGGATTGGTTTTAAAAAATTAATCAAATCTTAATCAGCATTTTTAATATAGCTATAAAAGCTATTAAATTATAAATAGGTTTTAATTTTAATTTATATTAATTATATAAAGAATATTAGATATTTTATTATTTTACTACTTAAATTAATTTCATTTAAAATTGTTACTTGTATTATAATTTCTAAATGAGTAACTATGATTTTCTATTTTTAATATATTATTATTATTATTATTATTTCTAATAATTAATATTTTATATTCTTTAGTTTCTAAATATTCTAAATCATTATTAATTTTTTTAACAAATATTACAAATCATTGCATTTTCATTTAATTTTAATATTTTAATTAATTTTTTTAAAATTTTAAATAAATTTGTTGATTTTATTTTATAAATATTTGTTTTAGATGTTGATAACTTTTAATTTTTTTAGTATTAATTGATTATAATAAATTTAACAAATAACATATTAATAATTAACAATATTTTATTTATTTCTGAAATATCTATTTTACTTGAAATTTTTTTTTTCTTTACATATATTATTATTTATGTAAAAGTTATAATTATTGATATTGGTTGATAACAATATTTAAAATAAAGTTTAAAAGTTAAAAATTAAAAATTAAAATTTTAATAAAGATATAAATAATTTAACAAATTTTTAAAATAAAATATTATCTTTTTATTTAAAATTTAAATTAAATTAATATATATATTTATTATATTCTACATAACTTAATATATTAAATATAATGTTAATATATTTTACTTAAAATCTTTAAAGTCTAAATTATTAATATTTATAATATTATGATTTATATATAAAATATTCAAAAAGTTGATTCAAAAGTTAACTTTATATTTTTAGAATTTTATTATAATACTTTTATATTATATTCTATATAATTTAAAATATCAAATATTATAAATCAATATAGTTTAGTTACATATTTATGATTTTATCCAAATCTTAAAAGTCTAAAAAATTAATTTATTATATAATTTATTTAATTATTTATTTTAACTTTAAACTAATTTATTTATATTGCCCAGTGTGTAAAATTCATGTGCACAATGTACATATGTGCACATTAAATTTTTATGTACACATATTACACAGCATAAAATGTGCACAAATAATTACTAAAAATAGATAAATTATATATAAAAATAGATAAATTATTTATAAAAATAGATAAATTATTTATAAAAATAGATAAATTATTTATAAAAATAGATAAATTATTTATAAAAATAGATAAATTATTTATAAAAATGGAAATACTATGTAATACGTGCATTAATTTTCTATTTTTAGTACAACTTATGCACATAACTTTTGGTCTAAATTTTATACACTGATAATGCCTAATGTTTGATTTACTATTTTAGAATCTTATTTTACATAATTTAAAATATTGAATTTATTGATTTGTAGAGTTCATTTAATTATATGCTGTATTGTCTAAAACTTTTAATTTAGAATTAGCTAATTTTATATAATGTAATAATTTATTTATATATAATTAATAGATGATTGATAAGTAAATCTGCTATATTTTTGAATAGCAATATAAGGAAGAATATATTTTTTAGGATTATGTTATTTCTTTTTAAATAATTTTTTAATAAAATTTTTTTTTTTTTAGTAATTATTCTTAAAGTTAAAAAAAGAAAATCTTATAAAAGAAGTTATTTCTTAACCTTGTAATATTTTTTTTTAAAAAATAATTAGATATATAAAATAAATATGATATAATAATTTGTTTAAATTCTAATTAGGCTTAAATTAGGTTTAAATTATATTTTTAAGAATTACTATTAAATAAAATATCTTTATTATGCTTACAATATTTTGTCATAAGCAGTAATATTTATGCTATGTAAAAATACTTAATTTATTTAAATAATATTTATAAAATTTATTTATTAAAATACATAACTTTTTATATAATATATATTAACTTTAAAATAAAAATAAACTTTACTTTAAATTCTTAAACATTTTTTATAACAGGTTTTAATTATTTAGTTTACTTTTCTTTTATATTAATTTGTGATAAATTTCACTTTTTGTTACTTAATTACTTAAATAAAAATAGCATAAATTATTAATAAAATAATAATACTAATAATCTATTTTTAAAAAAGAAAACAATCACATATTTTATTTATAATAAAAAAATTTTATTAATATTATTAATAATTTTATATACCAAATTTAATTTATTAATTATTAAATTATTAATAAATTAATTATTATTTTTAATTTTAAAATGATAAAATACTTAATTACTTTAAAATATTTTATTTTATAGTTTTTAGTAAAAAAAAAAAAAACTACAATAAAAAAATATATTTATTATATGATTGATTTAACAAAAAATATTAATATAAAAAAAAATTTTTGTTAAAAATTTCTTACTTTTTATTGTAAACTATACATTTAATAAATTGTAATATATTTATTATAATATTTATTTTATAAATATTAAAAATAATTAAAGAAAAACAAAATTTTATTTATTATTAATTAATAATATTATTATAGAATATTAATATAAATATAAATTATCATATATTTAATATATTTATAAATTATAAGGTTTTAATTAAATTTATTAATATTCATTATTATTTAATATTAATTTAATTAGATTTAATATTATAAAATTTTTTTATTAAAAAGATTTTATTAAAAAATATAATAATAAATAATAAATTTTTTATAATTTTAAGTTTTATTTATATAAAAATGATTATAATTTAAATTAATTAAAATAAAATTATTTAATTTATTTTTATTTATTTAATTTAAAATATAATTAATTTATCTTATTTTTTCATAAAATAATTTTAATCATAAAAAAAATAAATTTTATATAAAAATCATTAAATTCTTATTAAAATTATTACAAATCATTAAATTAATTTATTTATTAATTGTTGATATATAATATTATATATATAATTTAAAGTATTTTAATATAATAGTAAATAGTAATTAATTAATATAAAGGATTATATATAGTATTATAATAAATAATATAATTATTAAATTTTACTAAACTTTAATTAGAAAATTTACTAATTATAATTCTTATTATAAATATTTGTAAAATATAATTATAATGTTAAATAAATTGTTTGTCTTGCTACAATATCTAAACTTATTCTAAATGATGAAATAAGTCTTTGTTTTAACTTTTATATTCTTTTAATTCTTATTGGAAATCTTTAACTTATTTTAACTATTTATTTATTTTAAAAGAAAAATGAAAAGATTTTTAAATCTTTGATTAAAGTTAAATTTTATTTTCTAATTTAATAATTAAAAAATAGTAATAAACGATTGTTATAAGCTTTTAAACTTTATTTTTTTGATTTGCAATTTCAGATTATAAGTTTTGAATATGTTTTCTTTATTTTTAAGCAAATTTTTTTAAAGCATCACAAAAAATCTTCTTCAATTAATACAACCTATTGTAAAAAACTATAAAAAATAAAACATAATACTAATAGAAATTGTAGATTAATAGTTTAAAAATATGTTATATAAATTTCTTTTTTTGAAAAAAAATATAATCACATGATACAGTTTTTACGCTTTGGATTAATAACAGTTTCTGTTTTCTAGTATATTTTATTTTTATAAATATTTACTAAAAGAAATTACTTATCATATATTGTTTAACTAGTTATATTTATTTAAATAAGATATTTTAAAATAAAATTACTGAATAAAATATGAATTAAAATAATAAATAAATAAAATTTTAATAATAAAAAAAAGGAAAAATTGCTTAAAAAAAAGTTAATGTTAAATATAAATATTTTTTAGTCTGAAAATCCAATTATAATATATATATATATATATAAGTAAATTTGAATTTTTTTTTTCTTCATAAAAATTCTAAATATTTAGTATAATTATTCTTAGAAAGTTAAGATTAAGGTATTATTAGATTTTAGATTCTACAGTTTTTTATAATTATTTTAATAGCTTTCATACTTCAAAGGAATAGACCTCTCAGATTATGGTTGCCAATGCTCTTAAATAATGAACAGACATACAAAATATTATACAATTTACAGTATTAAAGATTTACGTAGCTTTTTTCATTCGAGTAGTGGTTTCTTTATTAATAAAATTATTAATGAATTTATCATTAGCAAATAAGAAGACCGCGATTATAGGTGATAGAATTAATAGAGGAAAATACTGATAAATGAGTTCCTAAACTAAATGATTAGGCCTTTACGAATTCAAAAAGTATTCAAGGTCTTTGAAAGTGTACAAAAGATATGAATTTAACGTATTTTTCTTGAAAATTACTTATCTTTTTTATTTTTTAAAAAAATTTCACGAAGCTCTAGATGCACCTAATCTAATGACACCATCGCAACAACATCCATTATTTATATTCGTTAATTACGGCAATGATTTCACTACCACCGATTCGATCTTTCCTTTCAAGATCGTTTAAAGAACATGAATCAGTAATTAAAAGCAATTTTCACAAAATGTTAGTCTGCCTCAGAGTAAAGTTATGACGTCGATGTCGTCGATTTGTAATCATGATTCATTTTTTATAATTTCTAGGCATTAATTACATTACTAGCACTGCAAATTTAGTCAGAATTTCCTTAATATAAAAAAGTTGTGTAATATTTTGCTAAATTTAAACTTTTTTTTTGCAACGTTACACGGCTTAGTGATAAGATACAAATTTAATTTTTGAATATTTTTTTGAAATTTCAACTAAATAATAGAACAATATGGATTATTGTGAGCTGGAGGTATAATATGTTAATTCTTTGGTTTCATTGCCTTATAAGGGAGTGTTGTCAATTAAATTTTATCAAATTTTTATATTTAGGTAAACCCTTTATTTGAAAATCATCTATTTCAATTTAAAAAGCATTGTACACTATGGGTATGTTTAAAATTTAAAAATGTTAAAAATGTTCAGAGAGCAATTTATTAATTAATATGTTTGATCTTTATAGCGGATGAATTTATTAGCTGTTTCTGACAGGGATAAGAATATCATGTTTATTGCGAAAACTGATATTATTTATGTGTATCGATTGGGTTTATTGGATTATAAACCAGGTGTCCCTATTAAGGAATTGAAATGTCCTATGGACGAGAATTTAAAAGTACCTTTATTTGATCAATCTTTCAATTTATATTTATTCGCTTTATCTATTATATGAGATCTCAATATTAATTTGATTTGCATAGAGCCGTATAATTAATGCTATAAAAGTAGGTAACATCGGTAATGAGGAAGTGCTTGTTAGTGTTGATGATTTAGGTGATGTTTTTGTATGGTTTACGGCTAATCTCGATAAAAATCCAATTCAATTCAAGTAAGTCGTAGATTTATCTGCAATTTTGATATCTAATTTTAATAATCAAATTTTTTTTTTCCTTTTTTTTGTTATTATTTATTTATTATTATTATTATTATTATTCAGCAATGAAGTATCAACGTGGGGTATAGCATTACATGGTCCAAAACGTTTATTGGCAGTGAGTGCCAATTCACATTCAATTACAATTTTTAATTTACAAAAGAGTGTTCAGTTTTTTAATGAGTTGGATGATGATGATGTTGATGATTTAAACAGTTCCGATGAAGAAGAATCACGTACTCAAAAATCATATTCTTCAGATGATGACGCACTTGGTGGGCAAGCAAAATCTGTTCTTCGAGGGCATGAAAATAATATCCCCAATATCTGTTTTAGCGCGTGCGGTCGATTTTTGGTTTCTTGTAGTATTGACAATACATGTCGGCTATGGAATGTTAAAAATGGGGAATTGATGCAAACAAAGGTATTGGTTCGCCATGGGGGTGGAATCAATGACGATTGGTATGAAATGAATGAAGATTGGTATGAATTTTTGATTTTGAATTTTATCATCATAATTATCACTTTTTAGTCAATATGATGATTAATATTTTTTTTGTTTATTCATAGGGGTTGGACGGTAAATTTTGTCTCTAAATCTGCCTTCAAAAATATTTCTCCTAATAGTGAAGTTTACAGGCGTCTGACTTCAAATCCAGAGAGTTCTCAGCAAGTTAGGTCAACTAATAATATGAATCGTGGTTTTGGATACGATTTGGATGATGACCAGATTCATATCGATCATAATTCAGACGATATGCGTAGATTGGTGGTTAGACGTCTAAGAATAACAGAATATGAGGATGGTTACATGGAAGATAGATCTGAAATTACAGGGGTGGAATCGGATGATGATTATGTGGAAGAATATTCAAATGAGAATGACTATACCGAAGGGGAAACGGATAGTGATGGCGAGGAGCAACCTGTCATAGATCGTCATGATGGGGATAGAGCATCCGACATTGAAGAAAGTACTATTTCGGTAGCTTATCCAATTCAACGTGAACCTCATTTGGAAGTTGAAGGGAATTCTACTCCAGCTTATTATGATCGTGCTGAATCATCAACCCCTGTTGTAGAAAATTATACGGAGAATAATCCGGATTACAGATGGTCAGTTGGACATGAATTAAACATCTTAAGTAATGAGCAGAGCGACGAAAATGGTCCATCCTTAATATCAGAAGGTGAAACGAAGAATAGTCATGATGGAGAGAGGTCGGAGAGGTTATCAGAGGAAGATACAGTAAGATCACCCATACAAGGTATTCTTTCAACGTCAGCTTATTCGCCTGTACAACCTTCATATTCTCCGAGATCCATGGTATCATCACCGCAAAATGCAACATCTGCTCCATCACATATGTCTCCTAACCTATCATCCGAAACATCAGGTAATCAAAGTAATGTAAATTTCTCCCCAAGTTATTCACCAGTTTCTTTTACAAGTACACCACTGGTATCTTATCAACATAATTATTCAGAGTTCTCACCATCCTTACCTACAAATCCACGATACGTCCCAACTTCTCCTTCTTATTCACCAGTATCACCTCAATTCACGCCATTCTCGCCTCATTACGTTTCTACTTCTTCACGATATTCACCTGTTTCCCCACATTATTCGCCTACATCTTCACATTCATCACGATCATCAAATTATTCACCCATATCTCCACGTTATTCTCCAACTTCTCCACATTATTCACCTACTTCATCACAAAATTCACCATCACCACCACGTTATTCACCTATCTCTCCCCAATATTTGCCAACGTCCATACCCACTTCACCTCGTTATACGATGTCATCATCGCAATATTCACCTACATCTCCGCATTATTCGCCAACATCACCGCTTCAAGTTCCTACAACTCCGACATATTATTCATTGTCACACGATTCCCCAAATTATATTCCTACATCTCCTCACTATTCCCCCACATTGTTTGAACATTTCTCACGAGTTTCAACCGTACTAACGCCATACTCACCGACTTTTCCACAAAATTCATTGTCACCACGTTATTCTCCAGTATCTCCGACATATTCTCCAATATCATCAACTGAATATAATTCGGCGAATCGAGAATCATCTATAATAGCAACTATAATAAACGATTTACAGCGGGGGTCACCATCACCCAGTCCTGATAATCATGAAATTGAATCAAATTCTCAATCATCACGTATGCATACTGTTAATGTTCGTGATTTCCCATCTATTAATATCGATAATTCCCAGGAGTCACCTATGAACATTTCAGGTGTTCCAACGAATGAGGGTGTGGCTTCTTCAAGTGATTCACATTCGGTTCCTTTAAATCATGATTCGCCATCAATGATTGCAATGGATATTCCGGATGTCTACGATGCCCGTCTTCAACTTTCTGATGAATTAGTCCTTTATACGTCAAAACATGATATGTTTATTCTTGATCCTAAATCACACTTGAATATATTGCGAACTGAAAATGATGTAGTGTGTAAAGTAGATACAAGACGGTTTTTATCATATGGAGATTATGATCGATTAAATATGATTGAGGTCCTACCGCAAATTCGTTTAGATCGCCCTTTAAAATTGAAAATTTTGTGTGATAAAATCTTACCTAAGTTTGTCTTTGCAATAGGTGATACCAGAACTTTCACTCACGATTGTGGCTAGCCAACAAGGAAAGATCGCGTTAACCAGACTCATTAAGTAATGATATCCGAGCACGTCTCATATTAAAAAGATTCTTTTGCCTGTCAATTAACTTTTTACTTGTATATTTAGAATCATTGATGATAATGGGTATGAAAATTATTACCTATATCCAGAACTGTATCTTCCACTTTTGTCGACTACCTCCATGAGTTCAATGAATGGACCATTGTTAGGTAAAAAAAAAATTTTCAAGTTTTAAAATTGAAAAAAATTTATAATTATATTGATATTATTTAAAGGTATGTTTGTCGCAAAACATGATACCCTTCAAGACCCTGCATTGTTTTGTTATCGATTATATTTATTGTATTGGAGTGGTACGATGCTTTGCTATGAGATACGAAGAAAACAAGAAACCAATCCTTTGAGAATGGATAATATTTTGATATAAAGAAAAAGGTTAATCTTAAGTTTATTGATCATCTCTGGAATCGAGGAGTTCGAAGTGAGACTCAAATGTATGGATAATACACAAAATCTTTGGAAGATGCTAATAACTAATAACTAATAATTCAATTCGTACGTTTGCTTTATTATATTGTTTAAGTATTGATTTATAAATAAATCACAATGTATTTATGTAAATAAGATCTCCTTAATAAATCAAGCAACGGTTCCAATAATAATTAAATGAATGAATTGATTCAAATTTCCTTCTCATATGATATGATATTACCAAATAATATTATTTAGATATTTAATTATGTGAAATATACAATATATATATATATATATATATATATATTTTCAAATATTTTTTAAGCTCTTTTTATATTATATATATATAAAAAATATTGATCGCGAAATAATATATTAACAAATATAACCAAACAATTATATATATACAATAAGAAATTATAAACATGTAATAAAAATTAAAGAGAAATGCAAATAAATAATTGTCCAATGTAAAAAAAAAAAATAAATGCAATCTAATAATAAAGGATAAGTCAACATACAAGCATTGTTCTGCTATTAATCAAAACAGCAAATTATCAATGAAATCCTAATAAAAATTGTGATTTAGAAAACTTAAAACTTTTAAAATTCCATATCCGTATAAATAAATTAGAACAATTGATGAATTCATTAATCCATAAACCACCATCTAACCACTGGAGTAGTTCCTAAAACGGGATGTAGCATTACATAATTCAGAAAGTATTCCATGTCTTTACGACGCCTTTCAATAAACTCGGGCATGAATTTACCCAAAACCTTTTTAGGTGGTAAATTTGGAATAATTTTTCGATATTTGGGTTGGGCCTTGACAAGTTGTGATCGCAATTTAACGAAATCGGAGTACCGTTTCCTTACTACGATCCTTAAACCCTATATGTATGTATATATGATAAATATTTAAATGAATTTTAATCAAAAAAGATAATTGAAAACCTATAAAATTCATTACGTCTGTCCCATTGACTGTACAAGTATATAAAACATATGAACCGATTCCCGAACCTATTCGGGAAGGATTACTGACGGTAACTTTCTCGGCAAATAAATTACTTGGTCTATCACAACGGTTAAGACTGATCTGAAAAATAGAGGGTTTTGGTGAAGGCGGTGAAGATAAAACGGAAGGAACAAAGGACAAATCAGAGAATGTGTCATCATTATCACTCTATTAAGAGAATGAGAGTAAATTAGTTGACATGCGTGGAATTTTTTTTTTTTATAAAATATATCGGAGGAAAAAAATAAATAAATAAGAGTAGTAACAATACCACTTGTGAAAATGAATCATCCTCGAACACCGAATCAGTTGTCGGTAGGGAATAAATTGAACTCCCACGTTTCATATTATATTTTTGAGTGAGAGAATATATCTCTTCCGTAAGCTGTGTTTCTCCAATGTCTTTAGATTCTTGACTTTCAACGGCATCAACGAATTCATCATTCAATTCCTCATTCTCATGGATGATTATTTTAGACAAACGATTCACCGCAGCTGAATGTCGTTTGTCATAATCATTATCAAGAGTGGCTTCGGCTGACCAAAATGGAACGCGTGCAGGATTCGTGCAAACTTGATCTGATGAAACAGAGGTCGTGATTGAAGCCTTGGAAGGGGATTGTTTCAAACCAAGATTTCCAACTAACAAACGAGCCACTGATACATTCTCCGAATCCATTGTATGACGCCTTATCCCATTTTGTTTTGCGTGATTTTCTTGCGGAACAACGTGAACTACAGATCTATCTTTTATTTTATGATTATAATCCCCTATTGGAACGGGCTGTAACGTTGGTCGTGATGCCTTCTCATAATTAAAACGATCATTATTATATACAATATCTTCTTCAACAACTCTGGGCAACGGTGCTTCTTTAAAATGTTCAAACGAAGCGGTATTTTGTTCAGGGATCGGAATTCCAGAGGATGCCACTACAGATTAAAAAAATAAAGTTATGTTTGGTAAACTTTACGCGAAGCACGAGATAAAGGCAAACCTACCTTCAATTCCATTTTTCAAAAGCATATGCAAGCATTCCATCGTATCTTGAATGTAATCATACCAGTTACTGGATGGATTATCGCCGTAATTTTCAAGTTGTTGCTTAATTTCCATTAATTCACCAATAGCAGTACGAATTTCACGACGTGATTTTAAGACTATTATTTAAAGAAAGGATTTCGATAAATATCTAAAAAGAAATAAAAAATATAAATGTATATTCTCGACTATAACGGAGTTAATCACCTTGCAAAGACCTCGAAGCCAAAGCTATATCACAAGATAAATTATCCAACTCCTCTCCTTCCTTCTCATTCTTTACAAAGGTTCTTTTTCGGATAAGAGTATCGAATTGTTTTTGCAACAGTACTATATTGATTGATACGAGAATTTATTATTATTTCTTTTTTTTTTTTTTTTTAGAAAGTAAAAATATTGTTTGTTACAAATAATAATTTTGAAGTTGAAACCTTACAAGTAACATGATCTGATAAATCCAAGAGATCTTGCACTTGACTTTGTAAATCCATATATAATAACGACAGTGTTTTTTTTTTTTTTTAAGAAAGAAAGGATTAACCACCACCGAAAATATAAAAAAAAGGGTTTTTCTATTAAACAAAATGTAATAAATATACGGAAAGCATTGTCGTACATAGTTGTGTAATGCCCCTAGTTTTGTTCAACGATACACCATAGAATTTAAACCACATAAACAATGTTTTAACTAAATATTTCCTCAAATCACCACGTCGTCATTTAATCTTACATTTCAAGATTTTAATCTTGCATTTTTTGGACCATGCGGGGAAGAAATAAATTGTGGCAAAAATTCCCATAAATAAATATGATGGGCGCGTTAAATATATAGAAGGCAACTGTTAATTTGGTGACGTGTACTTTTTATTGAATAAGGATTGCGTTATTTAATTGATAGTACATTTTTCGACGACTATGTCACGCCACAAGTTTACATATATAGTTGGTCTGAATTATGGTTAGCAATTAGGGCTTAGACACATGATATGTCAAATTGGTATGACATTGTAATATAAAAATTAGATTAAAAAAATGTATTTTCTTGGTGCCAAATATTGCGGCCCATTAATTATATTAAATATTAGGAAAAAAAGTACACGATTAATAAAAATACAAGGCCAATGAATTATATTTTTTTCCCGTCAATTATTTCCTTCATATGAAACTATCGCATCATACATATGAGCACCTAATTCCATCGCGGTAATGGCATTTTTAAATACTGCAATTTTAAGTGATTCACATGTAAATTTCACATTGTAATTTGTGTGAATGGCTCTTCCCATTCCCTATGAAGGGCAAAAGGTATAATGTTATCATCAAAATATTTATACGAACAAGCGTTATGAATGGAATTACCTCTAATACAACTAAATCAACATCTTTACATTCCTCAGCTAAATCATCGTTTATCCTCCGTAAATCCAAACAAGGGCTTGCGCTACCAGTTCCTATAACTGATAATTTTTTGGATGTCCATGCCGCCGCTATTAAATGATCAATTTCAGCGATCGATGTTACTACTACTGATAATTCTTCAAACTATGCAATTAAATAATAATATATAATCAGTAACTTGTAAAATCCTGAAACACGAGAGTGAATTAAGTATTTACAGTAATATCATTAACGGCGGGAAAACTATTGGCGGCCAAAATAATGTCCATTCCTAATGAGATTAAAAATCTAGCAAAAGGGATTATCCCCAAGATTATATCAGCACCAGAGTTGTCTACAAAGATCACTGCCTTCTTGAAAGGTGGCTTATCTTTACTCGTAATCCTTTCTATAAAGCTTCTAGTATTGTTCAAATGATCAGGTCTCGTCACTTTCGCTTTGGCTGTTTCAAAAGATAATTCTCCCTTTCTTAGCATTTCCAATACTTGACTTGATCCCCAATCAAACATATTACCGGCCAAAACATTTTCTATCAATAATTCGATTTTATCTTCCACTGATTGTATAGAATCCACTTTGTTCAATATTTCTTGTAAATTAAGTAACGCCAACTTATTTTCTTCTGTCTTGACTTTAGCAAAAATATCGGGAAACCCAAGTTCGTGTAAACATTGCTCTCGAAGATCCAAAAGGCTTCGAACCGTCAAAGCACCATACATGTTAGGTTGATTTCTTAACATTGCCAAATGACTACGGAATAACGTATCAAATGATGATGCTCTACGCTTAACATCCTCTTTGTATTGCTCACCATATTCGCCATTCGAAGACCATTCTACAGCCAATTCAACAAGATTATGAAGGTTCTTTTCTAACGCATCAATCCAGTGTCTCTGAGCTGTTGGGTCTGTCAACTGCAATGTGTCTGGATGATAATCGTCCAAATTTTTTAGCTTTGGGAATGCTACTAATTTCGTTGAAGTGCTTTCCAAGGTTCCATAAGCATTGATGGAATCTTCCGTAATCATTTGTGGCTTTGTAAAGATTTCCGAGAATGAATATGAACGTTGTTTTTTATTTTTAAGGAAAGCGCCAACCGCACCAAGATATCCTTCATGACGAAGGAATAAAGCCTTAATTGTTCCTTGAGACCAGAAGTTGATGGCATAAGACAACGTATTCATCGTAATCGGATGTCCTGTGAGGAGACATGGAATGTCAAATGTTTTATTTTTAAAAAAAGAAAAAAGAGATATGGGAAAAAAAAAGGAAAAGGATTTACCCCTGATAAAACATCCACCAAAATAAATTCTTTTCAATCCATGGGCTTTAGCATTTAAATAAGCAATCTGTCCAATATTATTACTGCGCTCGTACGAGTTTCAAATAAATCAAACATTTTAAATTTCTTAGAGTAAATAACAAATGATACATAAGCTCGAACAATACTTTACCTGACCATATATAACAAAGATTTTGAAATGTCCTCACTTCTAAAATTTCCGACGTCTTGTTTAACATTTTTTTTGAACACTTTGCCCATTGAAGAAGCGATCGTTGTGGACTTTAAGCCAATTTTATTGTAATCTGACCCATATATATCACCGACTAACATGTCCTATCAAATAAATTATTATTAAATGATCAACTCTTTATCAAATATGGAAGAAATAACAAAATTAATTACCACATTCGTGTTGTCACCATTTTTGCTTAGTTCCAACATTTCTTTTATGGGATTCAATTAGTAAGGTCTAAAGTTAAGGAACTTGCTTTAAGTTTTGATAAACGTACCATCAAATGACTTTGCACCAGTCAATAGGGATAGTAGGCCCCACAAAGTGCCCCCTCCTAACTAAATGTTACAAAAAATTGAAATTTTATAAGTATATATCTATATAAGCATTTTCTAATGATACAGACTGTAATGGAAATAAAATATTTGTAAATAATCTTACCGAAGTACCAGAGATACGATCAAACTTATCAGAATCGGTTACTTTCAATATACTAAGTAAATAATTATGGGATAAGCATATTTCATTGTCATACATAATAAAGCAGAAATCTAAAAAAAAGACATTTCTTACCTTACACCGGATCCGATATTTACAAGCTGTGAAATCAATTTTTTTGTTGAATGCATCTGATCAAATCAAATGGAGAATTAAAATAATAGTGTTACCATATACGGAAACATATTCGCTGGAGTTGGAGTACCTTCAAAGCACATTGGATCATGTTCGCTATATGTAAAGACTTCATAAGGAATTTCTGAGATCAGGAAATTCAATCCTAAAAATTATTTTATAACACGAAATTTAACAGCGTTAATAATTCTAAGGCATTCAACCCAATGAGAAATTATTTAATACCTATGATTAAGCATTCCATTTCATCTTCCTTTTCCACTTTAACCTCTTTTAATTTTTTAGTAAATGAATCATAAAATTTATGAGCCCCACCACCTGTAGCTTTTATAACAATTTTTTTCTTCAAGTCAGATGCATCGGGGTTCCTTCTTGCCGCAACTAAACTACTTATAAAATCTATACATTCGTCAATTTTATCAGTTTCGAATTTAATAAAATTTAAGCTTCCACCTTTGGTAGTATTTGGTCTTTTGGAAAAATAAACTACTTTGGCTAAAGAACCACCGATCTATTACGCGAAATTTTAGAGCTTTAATAAACAATTCCAGAACAAAAAATATGAACACGATAAGAAATATTTACATCAACAGCAATCTGGGAAACACATTCAGTTTGATTTGGTAAAACTATATCTCGGGTTTCCGGATAAGGTAATTCGTCACAGATTTTTGCTCCCGTAACATTCATTTTTTTTGCTCTTTTACCGCTCATTTTTTGAATTAACTGAATTGAAAAACAATGATGAAATTAAACTTTTGATAGACAGAATGAGTTACATCATTTGTGATTGATTTAATCCGGTAAATTCGGTAAGAAATTGTTTTAAGACCATGCCTTGTGAAAACTTTCCTACTTTACTTTTTCTTTATAAAAAAAAAAAAAAAAAAAAAAAAAGAGCCATATTGGTTTATTCACCAGACATTCCCTCTCACAACTTTACGACTTCTTATGAATCATCTCTACTAATGACACAATAAAAAAAAATTCCAGTTCTGCTGGAATATACTACTAGTAAATGAAAAAAGCAAAACATTTTCTTCAGCAATAAAAGTAGAATTCCGGCCAGCTGGAACATGAAAAAAAACCCCCGCTTCGCTTACGATAAAACTTGGAAACAGCATTATTAAATTTGAACATATATATGTTTTTAAAAATATTTTTTTACTTTCTTTTTTTTCTTTTTTTCTTGAACTTAAGGAATGAGCCTTAATTTTGAATTCAGAATTAGTAATTTACTATACATAAAATTTATTTTTTGAATAATAATAATCACAATGTATTTATTAAATTCCTCATATCCCCTTGCTATTCCAACAGAAGAATTTTGATACAACTCAACGTTAATTATCCTTTGTTAACTAATTATTGAATATGTAGAATCAATTTTAAACTATCCAAAAAAAAGAAAATTTTCAATGTCATAAAAAAACACAAGTAGAAATTTGGAGTAATTATTACTTCGAGTAACGTTAACATTTTTCAGAGTTAACATATTTTTATTATACTTGTAATAATACAATTTTGCAATTTATATGAAATTTATACAAACCTGAGAATTAAATTCATTCTTCACTTGGTAATCCCCATTCTCGCAAACAAAGTTTTTTAAATTCATCCTGATTAGGTGGTTTCGTTTCTCTACATGAGAGAAAATCAAAATAAATTAAGGATGAACTTTCCTCCCTTTTCTCTTTTTTTTTCTTTATAAAATAATAAAAAAGGATACGAATTTTTGACGAGATTCAACAATTGTTCAATAGCTTTAATCTGACTTTTAGCAATTTCGATGTTCTTTTGTTTGATATATCTCAAAAATTTTTGATCTTTATTAATTTCTGAAATATCAATAATTTCATTTATATCCTCCTTTGGTAATGTTGGTATTTTCGAATTTCGTGAATACGAAGATTGAAATTCTCGCATAAATAATCGATTAAGGGATGATTTGGTTTTTGGTGATAAAGTTGATTTGTTCGTCGTTTTAAGTTCATTAAACCTTTGATTCACTTTAAAAAGGTGGCATAAGATTGCTGGATTATTTTCTCGTAAATTTTGACAGATTATATATCTAAAGTACAAAGAGTAATTAGCATAGAACATATTCAAATTACTATCTAAATTGAATCTAAATTGAATCTAAATAATACCTTTCTGAATTTGCCGGCCTACTCGATAATGGTTTAATTATACAGATCTTTTCAAAGTGACGATATAATATCCATACGATACCTCCAGTAAATGGTGTAAAAATATCAAATAACTTTAATACAAAATCACCATCTAAAATTAATATATATATATATATATATATTTTTAGAATATTATTATTAATTGATTGAACACTAGAAAAGGCAAATTACTATAATTACTTTTTCGGAGTATCATAAACATTGTAATCACTTGACATAATATAAGTTGTTTTAAATGAATTTCTTGATATTGCTCCTGTCCTCTTACATCAAATCCCTGTTTGATTTGAACATTTACAGTTTTTATCATGAGATTCTATTATATTTAAACAATTTTTTTTTTTGAATAATCTTACCCCATCAGCTGTTACTAAATCTACACCAATTCCTCGAGTCCCATCTTTTATCGTCCTTGCAAAATCTTTGATATTGTCTTCTTTATACAAATCACCTATTTCGTTTTATATATATACACATATATTAATTATAATTAATGACATTGAGATAAAGTTTCTAAAAATCATTACCTGTGTCATCAGCTCCATAACACGGTTTAAAATATTTTCTTGGATTAGTTTCATAATAAAATCTATTTAAATCAAAATTTTGCACATTGTTTAGAGTAATTCCCCATCCAGAAACTTGTTCTCCCCAGGAGAGTTTACGCCATAGCAAATATTCTAAAAAAAAAAAAAAAAAAAAAATTTGAAAATTTATATTATAGGTAGGTGAAGTTACCCGAAATGATTTTCCTTCAAACCTGTAAATCCTCCTGGTCCACCACATATATCCGCAAAACAAAATACCTTTATACGTTAAAGTGTCAATTTTTTGAAAGGAAAATTTTTGTTTGAAGATGTAAATTAAAAGGTTTACTTACATGATCTTTAACTGAATCATAACTTTTAATTGTAGTAAGGCCAATTAGAGAATCCAAACACGCCAACTTTACGGCAGCTCTATTCATGAAAATTGAATTGCCAACTTTTTCATATGGATTTGATTTGTGCCTTGCTTCGGTAAATTTTTCATGTGACACGCTTTCAATACTATCCTAACATTTCGTTCAAAAATAGTTGTACGGAGGTATTAAAATAATATATATATATATATATATATTGGCTTTTTTTTTGCAAATTAAAACTTGTAAAAGTGGACAATTTACCTTCTTTTGAAGAAGATTATGTACAACCCTTGACTCGCAAAAGATATTGTAATCAGGTTCAACAACCTTCAATGATATATATAAAAATATAAATAAACGATCATAAAACGGTCAAAAAAATTCTTTTTACAAAATTTTCGAAAAGTATTTACCGGACCGACAACAATCCTTAATCCCTCAATTAACTTTCCTTCTTCATAGGGAAGATTACAAGAAATGAAATCAACGTGTTGTTTAGGTAACTGTATAATAGGGGGTAAAGTAATATTTTGATTTTTGACCTTTGAAGCATATGATTGTTCAGTAATAAAAGATGCTGTAGAAGGTGGTGGAATACAAGGTGGTAAGGCGATCTGTTTACGATTTTGAGATTGATTTGGATGATACACTTTATGTTGTTCTTCTCTAAGATAAGAAAATGATTGTTGCCTTTGATTTTGTTGATTATATCTATTATTTGTATTATACCGATCATGAAAATTATAACTGTTATGACGTTTATGTTGCGCTTGATTTTGCGAGTGTTGCTGTTGACGCTGATGATTTTGATTTAGAGAGTTACGATGATTCCCAAATTGATGATACTGAATTCGATTAAATGAACCTTCGCTACTACGTTGTTCGGGTGGAACAATCGTCCTAACCGAAGGCCGAGAAACTAGGGACGTATCACGATAATCAGGATCATCTTTCAAATACAAAATTTATCCAATCAATATAAGTTTACATTGATATTCAAACATTTTTCATAAAAAAAAAAAAAAAAAAAAAAAAAAAAAAAAAAATAATTACTTGCGTACGGATCCATTTATTTAAAGAGAAAATGAAGAGGGAGTGAGGAAAGAATGATTGCAACCCATTTTATAGTTGGTTAAAATGCGTGATCATATGTTTTAATAAACCAGTTTTACTATTTTTTTTTTTTTTTTTTTTTTGAGTTCTGATAAGGAAAAAGTGCGTGCGGTTTTTAATTCCGGCCGTATTGACGTAATTTAGCCAAAATCAACATACATATATTTATCTAAATGACGAGTCATAAATTTGTCATAAAGTCCGATCAATAAACTTACATAAAAAAATTATTTTTAAAGGGTTGATAGATAACGATAAAAGTAAAAAGAGGATATCTGAAAGCTTGTGACACAGCCTTATGTTTATGTGCAAGCAAGTGTTACCAGCCCATGGAGTCGACTCAGCCAGTCGTTAACCCTCTTCTCAATCGACTAAGCCGCCGAACAGAGTCGCGACACATATGAAATTTGCAATCATGGGGAATCAAAATGGATACTTTTGGCTGAAATTTATCCAATTGAATCAAACCAAAGTCCTTTTGTTGATATTCTGACATCATTTGTAACTTTTGATTCACGGTGAGCAGACATCGCTCGTTTTAAAAGAGTCGATTCAACTGATTCTATCTCCACATGCAAATGCAGGCCAACAATTAGCGACAACATAATAAACGCATAAATTAAAAAATTTTTTTTTCGCATAGCGTATAAGCTCAAATTTTGCATAGCATATCCGCAGTCAAGATCATAGATAAAGATCGAGATCAAATAACAAAAGGAGTTTTTGATTTTAACAAAACTAGCCGCAGAACATTTTGTGTGTAATAAATTTATATATTTTGAAAATAAAGTATTTCGAGTAAAGCATATTTGATACATATATTTGTATATCGTAGGCATATTTGGAATCTTGACGCCACATTTTCTGGGCTGCCTTACTTTGCAGCATTATTACAAAGAAAAGAAATCGCCAATTTCAGAAATAGTGCGAGTTTTTTTTTTTTCATAGGTCGATTCAATCGAGCTATAAATAGATTAGTCGATGATTTTAATTTTTAATAGAAATTCGGAAATTCGAATTTCACCATTACGCAATATAACGATGTCAAACCTTTGATTGACAGCAAAATTATCGATTATTCAATTTTGCTCACGTTAAAAAGTCGTTTATCCCTACGGATAGCTTCTTAGATCAATTTTCTACCCACCTTAACCCTTTTCATACCTAATCTACCTTTTTCTGTTTTTACTAATTTGAGCTTCTTTCAGATTTAAATGGTTTACATTTACCATATAAATTAATAAGTCCGAACATTTTAAAAGTTTTCCCGAAGAAACGAAAAATAAATATGCTTGAGGATGGTTATAAATATCTTTCGCTAGATCAGGATATCTCCGATATTCTTCTATTGCGTGATTATCAGTTCGATTGTGTAATCAACAGCATTACAAATCAAAAAAAAAAAAACATATATAAAAATGTCACAAAAGTTCAAGTCTTGAAACAAAATTAAGGATTTAAAAAATGAGCGACATCGTGCGTACCTATAATTTTCTTTTAAACCTTTTGATTGGATGTAATAACACCAATTTTGACATATTTTTTTTTTTTATAGAACACCTTAACATTTGAAGTCGACCCGATGAGTTGTTCAGGATGTACAAAGTCGATTGAAAAGGCATTAAAAAATCTTGGGGGTAATTCCACATTATTCATATTTCATACATTATTTTTTTTTTTTATTCTTTTAATAATTTTCTTACAACGTGTTATGAAAAAGGTATGGATGAAATTAACTTTGATCTTGAAACTAAGAATGTACGAGTCAAAACCACAAAATCATCCCAAGAAATAATTGAAGCCATCGGAAAAACGGGGAAGACGGCCGTATTGAAATGATTTCGTCATATCTGTACACTTTTATTTTTATTTTATTTGATCATAAAAAAATTTCAAACACTTTAAAAAATATTTTTTTCGTCAATTTTCATTCAATAAATAAAAGCTCAATCTCGTAAACGGGATCTTTTTTTGATGATTACAACATCGATCGTAAATTCTATTTATTAACCGACTCGAATTTTTTTTTTCATTTTTGAAAAATCTTTGTACTTAAAGTCATTTTACTAATTATGGTTACAGCGATTTATTTTGTTTATCCTAATTTGGTTAGGCGGCATAATAACGATCACATTTTTAAATTTATATTTTATATAAATTCCTTTTGGTCTTGAAAATTGAAGTTCTTTAATTAAATGTAATAATAAAAAAAAAAATTTTTTTTAGTCACGGAGAGTGTACGTTGATTAATTACTATTGTTTTAGTATACCTGATCGACACCATTCTGGAATATTATCGGATATTACCGGTAAATCATATCATGTGATTCCGCGGTAATTAACATATTTTGTTCCAAATTATTGTACATTTCTATTAAAGGCTCGGTTTAATGGGGCTATTTATTTCACTATGCATTCGGTGAAATTCTAATCTCGGGTCCATTGTAAAATTTGTGGTAGCGTTGTAAAAATGGAAAAAAAATTTTTTTATATTTGAAAGTTTTAAATAAAAAAGTATTATAAAATTAGTAAAAAATATTGCATTGTCATCATATTCAATTAATACAATCAAATCATATATCGATATGATACAAATTCTTCAAATTAGATAAAGTTTTGCTGATTTTCCTAGCAATCTTCCCATATGATCCGTAACGTGATTTTCAAATCTATCGTATTTCAAAGGAATCAAATCAATCATATGACAAATTTTTGATTTTTATTGACATTTTAGTTTTTTGATGTTATTAGATTAAAATATAATCAAGTCTTACTTTTAGTCAAAAAAAAATCTCAGAGAAACTTCCCATATGATTTAATATGTTCGTAACTCGATTTGAATTAGCAAACCCCTTAAATTCATAATATTGATTTCTTAGATTTTTTAAAATGGAAACGAAATTTAGTAAGTAATAACCATCTACTATTGTGTAAATAAAATAATGATAAGTAATACATGTAGAAATATAGAAAAGATATTGGAGCGCAGCTACATAAAAGAAAACTTCTAGAAATGTGTTTCCAAATTAAGGTTGGATAGAACCAAACTGAAAAGTTCCGCCGAAACGTTTCTGATTTGGTAAAGCAGTTTCGGATAATTTTTCCCGAAAGCTCCTAATTCACGGAAACGATTAAAAATGATTTAATACCAATCGTTCGAAAAAGGCAACATTATTTGCATAAGACGGATCTTATGTAATTATTTTTAGGATTTTTTTTAATTAAGGAAGGTTTCGATTACATCAGCCCATGATTTTCTCACCCCAATCTCTAACATAAACTCCACGATCATATAAAGTTGTGTTGCCAAATTGCCAAATGGAAATTTTCATTGCCTAAAAGAATAAAAATTTGTTCAACTAGCGAACTTCCTTTAATTAGTAATAATTCTCGAGCACGATAACACTTTACGATTTGAAAAATTATTACTGGTTCTTTAAGATATCCTTTTCTTTTTGTGCGTGATTACAAGCCAAAACCCGAAACCCATTTTTGAATATATTTATCAGATTTACAGTCCATCGATTGGGTAATTAATTTTTGATTTACACAATTTTTTTAAATGCAATCAATTTGGTTACGTTTCAAAGAATTTGATTGATTTTCATGGAGTAAAAAATTCGTTTCATGACAAACTCCAACTTTTCTAAATTTATTAAAGTCCGACAACTTGAGCATGAAAATCTTTCCATTTTTTTTTTAATTTTTACTTTTTTACTTTATTTATTTATTTATTTTTTTTTTATTATTTTATATTTTTTTTGTTTTTATCTTTTTTACATCATTTCTAATTCTAATTAACTTACAAAAAAAATTCCAATCTAGCCAGCAGTAAAAGAATTTTTAAAATCGAGCTTCTCGTAAAAAGAATTTTCTTACATTTTGTGGTATACCAAAAATCAAGAAAATTATGGACCCCTGTAAAGCACCAACCCAATCATGACCCGATAAACCTTTTTCAATGGTTTTACCTCCTTTAATGACTATAATAACAGTTTGTATGGAAGCAAAAAAATTAATAAACGCAAACGCGCACGAGAATAAGACCATACGTATCGCGGCGGCTTTTGTCAAGTTGTATACTTTAATTTGCTTTGTTAAATCTGATGTTTGAACGGTATTTGATGTTACAACTGAATTCGTATTTTCCTCTAGATCTGTGGATATCGTTAACTCTTCTTGGCCGCTTTCAGACGTTTGAGCCGATTGGATATGACCTCTTGATGAAGAGATCGAAGTTTTAAATCGATCCAAATGTCTAAATACTGCTACCGCTGCTCGTCCTTTGGTGACAAAGGGGATGAAAAAAATAAAACGAAAATTAGTGAAATGTTAAATGATAATAAAGGATGATAAAAGTGAATCATTGACACTTACCACTGTAGTATACACCGACAAAGGATAATATGAAATTGGATCCAGAATACCCAAAAAGCCTAACCCATACGGGATCTACGATATCGCTAAATAATCGTAAAAAAAAAAAATAAATTTTTTTAATTAAAAAAAATTTCCTTCGAGAAAACCAAAAAGGGATTGATTATTTACCAATTGAGAGTCAAAGGTTTAATGGCATCATATTTCATGGCAATATAAATTAAAATTGCCGTCGGTATAAGAGGATATAGAATTACCAGGGCAATATAAACTTTTTTTAACGTTTCGGTTATTCCTTGCCTGTTAAGAACGAGTAATCGATATGTCTGATATGCAAAGCACAACCCTCCCGACATTTGTAAAAATGCACCATATTGGATCTGCAATAGCGGGAAGAACATACATTTTTCCATTTAATAAATTGATCGTCTTTAAAGAAAAAAAAGTGTCTCGAAGAAAGAAAAACTTACAGCTACTCCTTGAAAAAGGCAAAATCCCCATGGAACTTTATTTTTAAAATCATCGATCCAGATGACGCCTAATAATACAGGAAATTCAACCAACACCATTCCTATTGATATAACTACAACCATGTAATTTTTTCCATTCCGATATAATTTAACAGTAACGTATATAGCACATAATAATGAAATGAAAAATATGAAGTAAATAAATATGAAGAAAGGATTAATCATTTTGTGAAATGCCTTTTATAGTGACGATTTTTTTATTTTTTTTTTTCTCATAAAAAAACAGTAATGAAATATGAGATGTGTGAAATTGTTCGGTATATATATTTAATTTATGAATATCAAATTTCCTGGAAATTTTTTTTTATTACAAACATATTTTTTTTCGGTCCAAGACAAATTAAAAGGTAGCAGTGTTACAAACAAGTTGCGAATCAAAAAAAACATATTTTAATTACGAAGGACTACGTAAAAAACCGAAACAGAATGGTTCATCATTAAGGAATATTAAAAGAAAACCAATGGAAACAAGGATCAATCAATTTCCTCATGTAATTCATATTTGAAAATTAATCAGCCGTTACTCAGTTAATTTTTTAACTTTATCGTTGAACCTTCTTTAATAAATCTTTCAATTAATTGGTTCAAATTGCACGGAAATTAATTAATGGGTGATTTCAGATAACATTTATTTCTATCTTAGGTGACGGTTCGAGCCAACTTTTTTTTTTTAAAAAAAAAAAAAAAAAATAATAATATCAACCTTAATAAAGAAATTTGCTTCAGAATAATCATGTTATATAATCGATAAATTCTTTGTAATGATTGATTCGAGATGAAACGGTAAGACGATTAAGCCAAAATTCCAAATCAGCGTGAGCAAAATTAGTTTCATTAGAACGCTCGAGACATTTGATTTTTATTTTTATACAATCGAAATTTATGGGACACCGTTTCTTTCATTCGGCCATCGACTGCTATGGTTTCTCAGTAAAGCTCTTTTTTCTTGAGCATTTCTCTCGGCTGAAACTACGGTCCATAGGTATATTCGATATGGGTTAACATTTAACCTAACTTTATTTATTACCTAAGGGCTGGAAATTTGGTAATACCATGATCGGATTAATGATCTTGTTACTCTACTCCCTTAATTAAACCTAGTCTTTTTGATTGGTTCTTTTCACTCTATTTTTCTTTTCTTTACTTTTCTTTTCTTTGTTTGACAAGAAAGTTCTTGGTATTTACGTAAAGATATTTTCTAAATGATGTAATTCTATGAATCAAATAATTTCGAAAAAAAACATTTTTTTTTTTTCGTACATTCAAAATTAAGAATGGTTTGTTATGATATGTTTCAAATGTCTTGTGCATTGCATTTTTTATCTGACAAATTTCATTACACATTTTTTTTTTTTTTTGCATTATTAATTGTACAAATGTCATGAGTGCTGTCATAAGAGCATTGTAATTTTAACATTATTTTGGTAGTTTAATAATATTTTGAGGCGTTACAATATTACAATCCAAAGATTAGTTCTTTTTTTTTTATTTCACCACATTAGTACAAGTTCATAAGGAAGAGACGGACGTATCAACCAAACATCAATTACAATGTCTAGATTATCTTAATCCAATCTTTCCCACGATAATTATCACAAGAACAAGATAGATTAAATTTCATGCATCAAATCATACTGGTATGCTTGGTTCTGATTTACATTTACCTAGAGCTCACAGAGCATAAAGTTTTGTCAATGCGCATTGACTTTTCATTATACACTTGAAAATCTTCAATTAAATAAACTGACCAGTAATGTATTTATTTTTAAAAAAAAAAAAAAGTCGATTGTCAAGAATTTGATTCGTTATGAACTCGCAAATGTTTAGTGCGATATATCACGATCTTTACGCTTTGTCCACAAAGATTTTTGAAATTTTTCACAGGCACATGATCTCTGTTGGGGAATTCTAAAAAAAAAATTTCAAACAAATTTAAATTATTTATAAATTAAATTTGTGGAATTCATATGATCAGCCATGTGTTTTCATTAATAAAGAGAGTTAATTGGGATAACTTTGCGCCTTCAACCATGAAGTAATCGTTCGATTATGCAATGTAACGGTCCAAAAAAAAAGTTCCAAAAAGCATCGAAAATCAAAAATAAGTTTTAAACATATTCCAAGGCTTCTAACCCTTGCTATTTCTATTCCGAAAATATTTTCGGAATCTTTGCCGACGTGAATAAAACCTTTTTCATAAACACTTGCGTACATAAAAAAAAATTATCATTCCGTTGAGAGGAATAATTCCAATTCCCTCTCCAAATGTTATGAGGTAATGAAGGTGATTATATGTTGACTTTGATTTCTTCAAATCGAGTTTCAAAACATTCACAAAAAGTAAATTTTCGAATATCGAAAGATTTCGAATTTTATTTTGATCTTGGTAAATCTAAATATTAATGAAAATCCGATAATCGGAGATTTTCTAATATTAAAAAATTTTATTGTAAAATGTATATCAAAAATGCTAGAAATCTTGGATTCAAATATTGTATCGTTATTTTTATTTCACAAATGTATGTTAATGTATGTTCCACATTTCTATTTTATTTTTATTTTATTTTATTTTTATTTTATTTTTTTTTCGATGTTTGGGATTTGGGTTTTCGAAGATACTTATATGTACTACTAGGGAAAGCATAATTTCCGATAATAACATGGGTTAATTTTGAATAACATGGCTAAAATATTTACGTAATACAAAACAAATCCACAATTTTCATTCGTCGATCAGGCTATAACATTGCGTAGTAGTATAAGGTCCTCCACTATGCTCCGGACAAAAATTCAGAAGATAAATATTTTTTACAATTTTTTTTTTAATTTTGTTTCTTAAAAAATGAAATCAAAGAACTGCTCGTGAACTTTTAAATAATCCATGTTTACAACCTAAAACATCCATAAATACTGAGATTGAAAAGGAAATTTTATTCCTGTGCAACAAATTCAAAAATTACAATAAGAAACCATTACAACCTTCTCAAATTACAAATCTTGAATCATAAGATTTACCTTAATATGCCTTTCAATAAAGTAGTAAAGAAAAGGCTCCGATGTTTAAATAATTGTCATTTTTAAAATGTAATATTTTTAAAAAATGCTTTTTTCTATATCAAGCTTATTAAATAAGAATAGATATCAATCTATTGAACCAAAAAGTTATCTGATAACCAATTTTAAGTTAAGAAATGGTATTTCTATAAAAATATCTATACACATATATTATGTGTATGAAATATTATGAAATTTTATAATTTTATAAAATTTTAAAGTTATGCATAAATTCATATTTTTTAAAAATTTTTTTCATGTATAATTTTTTTTATAAAATTCATAAACTAATAAAAAGTCAACCTCTAAAAAAAATATTACATCGTTCTATCTCTTCCAAAAATAGAATGCACCATCTAATTAGAGATCGCATAACTCATGCTATTTGAATCCAAAAAAAAAACTTTTGGCCATCAAACCGATGCAGGAATTAATTTAGGTAATTTAATTTTTATTATGTGTGACGTCGATCCTTTACGATCCGATTTCGAAAGTAACATTTTAGGGGTGAAATAATTAAATTACCTGGGAGGGAGTATAAAAATCATATTAGGTAATATGTTCACACTTTCCGAGCATTGTATTAAACTTTTAAAGTTTAGTTGTTAAATTAAATAGTATGGTATAATTTTAATAAAAATAAAACCATCTCATCGTATATTTAATATCAAAATAATCTTAATACGAGTAGACATTTGGATCCTTTTAACCGAATCATTCTAAACAAACTAGTATTCAATTTTGTTCAGCAAGAATCGATTTGACATTGAAGAAATAAGTTATGTTTTTAATTTTAATTCCCGGGTTGAAAAACATCAATGCGGCGATTATGATTAAAAAATCATCCAACCTAAAATTTCTTATTTCAAATGCACATATCATGTTAATTAAAATATTAATAGAAATTTTTCATTAAAATAAACTTTAAATCAAGTTTGGACGTTTATCCATTGGACATATAGATTTATAAAGGTCCCATTGGACATCAATATATGTTCAAATAGTAAGTATCTTTGCGCCGGCCCGGAAAATATCAAACTCGGATCCGGGTCTCTGCCAAAATTCAACTCGGTTATTTTGAAGAATTTGGAGAAAGAAACTCCCTTTTTCCTTTTTTTGTTAAGAGGTGATTATATAATAACCAATTTTGGAATGGACGTATTCAATTCGTAAATTTTATTGTTCTTTAATCGGCCTTCATTAATTACGACCTTCTCAACTTGGAAAAGTGGCATGCATTCGTACGGGGTATGCATTCATACGATCGGTGGAACGTCCAATCCTTGCCATTATTATTTTCTCGTCACGTGATAGATATCGAGAAAAGAAGTTGGGTTTCTGTATTACCCGTATCGTATGAACACCAAATTGGCCCAATTTTGATCATCTACGAAATCCGAGAAAAGCCTTTTCCTCCTTTTTTGGAACATTTGAGGTTGTTTTAAAAGCGTTGGTATTACCCAGCATTAAGACAATATGAACTCATAATTTTATTCAGCTTCTCTACATTACTTAAGTGGGTAAACAACATATAACTTCTTATATACACAAAATAAGTTATAATAGATCCAGTTTTAATGTTGATCATAAAGTTAAATTACAAAGACCATAAAGTTCAGAATGATTAAAGGGTGAACTGCACGTAACTGTTAATAACACATTGTTCAAGTCTATGATATGTTGATTTTGTTTACCAATTTTCGATCTAGGACCGTAATCTTAAAGATTGTTGTCATTTAATTTAAAAAATATATATATATATATATAATATACAGTAGATAACTCTGGTTAGGTTATTTTTTGTAATCTAATAAAGTCTTTAAAGTTTATAAATGGCTATTGTTTATATGGCGTATTCGGTCACATAATGTGATCTCAAAAGTTAATGATTTTCAATTATACAATGGAGGTAAGGATCCTTTCTTTGCTACTTTTAGCATTTCAAGCAACTATGCCATACGATAAATACGAATCAAATTCCTAAGATGAAGGAAATTTTTTGATTTCAT